TAGATCCATTATTCTGATAAACCTCAAGCTCGAGGGCGTAGTTAACCGATACAGAAACCCCTACTCGACAAGCTGCTAAGCCATTTGATAAAAAGATTCATCATAATAACCAACATCTAATCGAGGTAATTGTATTAACGTCAGAAGCAATTAGAAGGAGACAATCTTCAAAATATATATAAAAAACCTTAATCATGAGTTATACATATAAAATGCTAAAACATTTGACTTTGATACCATACATTGTCTCTTTACTAAAGAATATGATTTGGTGCATAAATCGGTTCCAAGAGGTGGTATTAAATATACTTTTTTTTTCTTTCCAATAAAGTAGATCTAAAATAATGGATAACCTTGAAAGCATGAGGGAAGCATGTTTATTGCTCATGTAAGCAATCATATCTAAAATCTACATTAGTAAATTCAGTTTTGCTTTATAAGTTTTTATATTTTATTAAATATATTTTATACTTTAAGTCAGAATAGGGGAGCACTCATCTTGGGGTGAGCTTATTACTTAGATGCTTTCAGCAGTTATCCGATCCTAATCAATAATTATTTTCATGCATCAAATCAGGTGGTGCAAATTAAAAATAAAATAGCAAAAATATAAAGAAAAAGGAAGTTACTGGCTTACTGCCAGAAAGGGTTGAAATCACGGTAATAAACAAGTGATACGATACCGTTTTACCATTTTAGCTATTTACAATAAGCTTTTAATTTTTTCCTTAATTGTAGACACCCTCTGCCACCTATACGACTTGGTATTGGTTCCTTTGTTGGGGTAATCTAGAAACTTCTTAAGTGAGTTAGATATAAGTTCATGCCTTCATTGATGGAGATCATCTTTTTGATCAATTTTAATATGAATATGAAACAAATCAAAGTTGTTCTCGGTATGATTTGAGGTTTTAGTTGTGTTCTCAAAATAAAATTGTTTTTAGAGTTATCAACAAGCCACAAAATTCAAACAATCATAAAAGTCTGTAAGAGTACTTTTCTTACATACATATGTAAAACATTGATCAGACATTATAAAAGTGATAAAAAAATCCTTCCAACCCCCTTTCAAAAACCAAATGTTACATTACATATCAATGCACCAATATACATTTAATAATTAATACTTTGTTAATAGAAAATGTGATATTTGACTTTGATTATAATTTACTAATAATCGGAGGCTGACGTTGATATAGCAAAATTACAAAATTTATATAAATCATAATAATTTTAAATATTATCTTGTAGCTATTGATAATAAATGAATAGATATCATATTTTGAGAAAATTTTAGAAATAAAAAAATATGTCTCCAACATTTAACAGAAAAACATTTAAAAATAAACATAAAACACATGATGATCTACGATATATTCTCCAAAATATAAATAATATACTTGTTATTTATTTTACTTTAAGAGATTTTTTCTATTACTCTAAAATAAAAAATCATAAAAACCTACAAGTTTAGAAATTCTCTAAATTTGATGCAAATAAAAAGGAAATAGTTTTTTACTCGTTTCCATCAATAATATTAAATTATTATTATATAGTATAGTTTTTTAAAGTGAATTAAATTGATAAAATTATAATATATTTTGATAATAAAATCAACATTAAAATATTTAAAATAGAAATCCGTTGGAGTTAAATATAATTTTTAGAGGATTTAATTTTTAGTTCTTTATTTTAGAAAAATTATAATAACTTAAATATATAGATATTTCAAGTTTATTTAATTTAAATTCACATTTTCTCTCTAGCCATGTATGTTATTTATATAACCGAGTGACAGAAATGAAATGTGAGAATGAAATTTATTAGGGAGTACAAGGGCACCTTGGATCTATAGTTCAAAGTATAGGTGTATTATTTACATCGGTTATCATCATAAGTAACTATACAGGGAAAAAATTACTTTTTTGCCTTCTTAGAAAAATTCAAAATAGTCAACGTACCGCAAGGCACTTTTTCTTAAAATCTCTAAACTTTTTAACCTTCTTAAAAAGAAATCCAAAATAGCCAATGCCCATACCACAACGCATTGAAGTCTATGAAATTTTTTGACGCATATAAAGGAAAATGGGGCTGAGACGCCATAGCTTGCGGCATCAAAAAGATATGTGCCGACGTATAAAAAGCAAGTCAAAGTCGTAGTTTACGGTACTATAATAAAAAAAGGTCTTGTGACAGTCTCTTCTTTATTTTTATGAAGGAAAGAAAAAGAGATAACTATAAAATAAAAAAATAAAAAAACTTTTATTTTATATGGTTATTTATGATGATAACCTTTTTACACAGACAATAATGAAAAGAATTGAATTATCGTCGGGTTTCTAATTTTATTACATTTCTTGTTTATAAAAAGGTTCTCTTTTATTAAAATTCGAAACAAGCCCACGATCTCTAGGAATTTAATAATCATCCTTTTGGAAAAGTGAGGGCTGAATATGAGAGGCATATCGCTTAATGGATCTTTGGTACTTGCAATGCGACTACTATTAATAGAATGGACGGTTGAATCAATAAAGTGACCTCCATGTTCATCATAAATACTATAATAATTTTAGAGGTGTATAATTAAATTATATTTTAAATAATAAATTTTAAAGAATTCCACAAAATGATAAAATATTAAACAGATACCATATGTCGATAACCCATAGCCTTGATTTTCACGGTAATTGCCAAATGGAATTGTCGCCCTAAATTTGTGCTTTTCTTCACTCGCTTTCTACGTCTAAATCTCCTGCTTGGTTTTATTGTTTTGATATGTTTATATTTATATTTTTGTAAATTTTATGGAAATGAAAAGGCAAAAATGTTGTCAACAATTAAATAAACCAAACGGAATTCTTTTCTAGGAATTCTCCTATTACACGTTTCAAAATGGAATTTTATTTATATTTTCAATAGATTAGCTTTAAAATGGTTAGAGAATATTTTACAACACATATAATGGAATCTGTTAGAATTTCTTTATATATTTTTTTAAATAAAAGAAAAACGAAAGAGAAATCCAAATAAAAATTTTCTTGATGAATGGTTTTAAGGAATTTGAATTTTGTGAAATGATTTAAAATTGGAAGGAGATATAGATGTGTTTGACTTGTAGGATTAGAAATGAATTGAATCCATTTTTTATAAATAATTTATAAAAATAAATTATAAATAATTATAAAAAATAATTAAATTACTTTTTATTAATTAATTATTACAAAAATGTTTTCAACATTTTTCAAAACATTATTAAATATAAATCCTCCAAAATACTAACAACCCAAGGGGATTTCTAACCTTGAATCTCTATTTTCTTTTTAAAATATGGAGATGTGTTGAAGATATTCTGATCACGTAGACACACTAAAAAGGTAAGAAAAAAAGTAAGATTTTGAAAAACACGATAAAAAGAATCAATAGAGAAAAGGTCTTTTTGACTCAAAGTCGAGTCAAATCATGTGTTCATTAAATAAATAATATTTTTAATTTCACCAACAGAAACGAATTTCGAGCATTGTTGTCATAAAAATAGTATGACARGGATAATCCTATTCAAATCTCATTCGATCGTTATATTATATTATTGCCTGCCATTGAAATGTCAAAAGAGAGTATTGTTGACTTTTGTTCAAGAAAATTAGCATGAAATCTTTCAAAATAACAGGTTTTTAGCTCACTTAAAATCAAGCATACCATTATGAAAGCAAATATGTCCATCAAAACATGATAAAATCATTTCAATGTAAAAGGTCTAACTTTATGAGTGCCTATTTTAAAATTCATATAAAATATTTTAAATTTTTATTTTAAAATTCCCATAAAAATTGAAGATTTAAAAACATTTGCTCTAAAACTCTCCTTTAAAATAAAAGAAATAGATAAAAAAAATAACATATTTGTTGAAGATTTTTTACATGTCCTACCTCGATTTTGTTGAACATTTACTATTATGGGCGTGTTTGGGAATGCTTATAAAAACAACTTATTGACTTATTCCGATGTGACACCAATAATAAGCATTTTTGACTGTTTGGATAAACAATTTATACCGATGTCAAACCGGTAATAAAAAGTTTTTGAAGAAGTTAAATTATTTTAACTTATAATAAGTTAACAAACTCTTTTGTAAAAAAACATAATTTGTTTCAAATAAACAATCTCAAACACCTCCTATATATGCTTGGGAATAATGTGGATTGATGAAAACATAGGTTACCAAATAAATGCAAAAAATTATGCCGAAATATTTGAATTGAAATGATAAAGATTTCAATATTCAGTCTTTTCGGAATCAATAATTATTCAACGGACATCAAATTTATTACCCTCCATCATGTTTTGACTTTATATTTTATAGTATTTTTCTTGATGGATTGTATTTTATAGCATTAGTGAGTTGTTCTTAAACCTAAATTCCTGTGAACTCTTAACTTTACCATCTCTAATAACTACTTTAAAACAAATATTTTGAAGGTTTTAATCATTATTTTGCTTCAGCTACTGTTCTAAATCGATATCCATTAAGGAAATTAAGAGTAAGAAGCTATACATCCTCAAATTTGGAAGAAGCCTCCAAGACTGGATAATACGAAGAGATTAACAACATTTTGGTTTATTTCCAACAATTAGGTTTACTGTGTTTTTAATAACATCTTCAGATCGATTTTAATTTTTTATTCTATATTAAAAAAATATAGTTCAATCGGTGGAGGAGATTGTGACAAGGTACTCTGGAATAAAATTTGGAGATAATCTTTGGGTGATTATTATCGTGAATACCTCAAAATAAAGTTATGAAGGAATTTTTTCTGTGTGTATTGTGAGACTAAGTTTATGATTTCAAATCCACAAGGAATGAGTTAACAGACAGAATACGAATCGATGTATTGAAAAAAAACAAATATGAATCAAACACATATATATATATACATACATATACATATACTAGCATGCGAGTGTGTGTGTGTTTGGGAAAGGATTCAGGATTGGAATTGAACCTTGATTTTGCGGAGTCGGTTCTGGTGAATCGATCGCTTTTCGAGGTCGGCTACATGACGAAATCGTCGGTGGCGGTTTTTGACGAGAGAGACGGCGTCGCGCCACTTCCTCAAAGCCGCTTCCGACGGGTGCTTCGCCGGAACATCAAAATCCTTCAAATAATCATTCATTTCAACTGGTGGTTGCACCGCCTCGTTCGGCGGTGTTCAGATCAGCAATCGAGAGAGTGTGATTGAGGCTAAGATCTGAGTAATCGTATACGATTATGATATCATTCTCCTCGTTGTTTATGGGGGAGTGCGTTACTTAACCTTTTGAATAGAAAGGGTACATGCCATATATATTAGCAGAGAATTATGCTTTTGTATATACAGACAAGAGTGTCCGGAGGATTCAACAAATAGTTGGGCCCAACAACAAAAAGGTTTATGGGTCGACCCAAAACCAATATTATATGTAACATTTTCTCCATTTTTCTGCAGATTTTTTTTATTATAAGTCTTCAAAATTTGTAAAATAAGAGGTTTTTTGTTTACCTCTTAATAGTTTCATTAAGAGACAACCTCTGAATCGTTAAAAGATAAATCTTGTTTCGTAAAAAAAATTATGTCTCTTAATAGTTCTACAACCCTCTGTCTTCATTAATCATTAAGAGCCTTGATTTAATCATAAACAATTACCAAACAATTATATTTTATTTTGCACTATATCATGAGAATCTGTTAATCGTTATGACCACTTAATCATTATGCATCAAACCATTCAGCAACTGTCAACAGCCTCTAACATTACTGTTGGATATGCTTTAAACAAGTTAATAGATTTGAAATGAAAAAATAAGCGAAATACTTTATAATGTTTTTTAAAGACCATGTTGGGTCGGTCCTGGGTTGTGTCGGTCAGGGGCAGGCCTATATAAGTCCAAATGAGCTCTCGTGCATTCGCTCAACTTATTTTCGTAAGTAGGATTCTTTTGAGGTATAATATGCACCCGCTAAACTTTTAGGGTGTTTTGGGATATTAGAAAAAACTTTTTAAAAAAACCTTTTTAAATTTATCTCGCTACTATTTTAAAAACCTTAAAAGATACTTTTTTTTTAATAAAATAAGAAGTGTTACTTTTTTTAATAAAATATTTATCTCGATTGAATAGAATCCCAAAGAGGTGAACAGGGTTCCAAATAACAAGAGATATTGGATATCTATATAAGGCATTCTCCGAATACCTCTTTTGTCACTGAGCGGTCATTTAAGGGCCTTAGCTGGTGATCCAAACTTTTTTCCTCTCGACGATGAAGCTTATCCCCATCGTGTCACTAGCCGACCTTGACCCCTGTTATTTTCTCGAAAGTAATATATCATATTTATTTAAGAAATATCTTATTCTTAAATATTTAATTTGCATGAAATTTAACAAGAAATTTAAAAAAAAAACCATTAAAAATAATTTGAAAAAGTTTTTTTCTCGTTTTTTATTTTTATTTTTGCCATGTCATCAAATACATTGTCTCGTTTAAGCCAATGAAACAAAACAAAACGAGGGTTAACTGGTTCAAAGGTAACGGGGTTACCCATTGCTATCAGGGATGAGCAAAGCCATGTACCTGGCTAAAATTCATGGAACCGGCGGTTCCTAGAATGACAGACCCTGAACCGATTACACCGGTTTTTTATATTTGGGAACGGGTTCCGGTACAGGGTACTCGGTTTCTATTTTATTTTTTTTATCATTTCACACTATAAAAAAGTAATTGTTAGTTTATTACAAAGYATCGACGTAAAGAAATGAACATTACAGAAGGTGAAAACTAATATGATGAAAACTAACAATCACATGAATAATTTGATAGAGACTCTTGACAACAGTAAAACGGTGGTAAGTTGTAACTTTAAAAGGTAAATTAATATATTCAATTTTAGTTTATTGAATATAATAAACATATAAAATATTTTCTATTAAAAAAAACAGCAGGGATCCTTCGATTCCAGTTCTAGATATCCATCGGGACCTGATACTCGGTCCCTGAACAGGTATAGACGGGTACCGGGGGATAACGGTTCCAAAAAAAAGAACCGGAACTGGTCCCGATCGGTTCCATATTATAGGAACTGGAACCAATCACATCGGTTCCAGTTTTGAAATCAGGCAGTTCTGGAGCGGTTATGATTCCGAAGGCAGCTACCAAGTTTCGATGCTCACTCCTAATTGTTACAATAAGTAGATTTTTCAATGTACCATGTTCTAATAAAAAATAATTTAAAAACATATTGTTGTAATAAAAAATAAAAATACAATATTATATTAAAAAAATATGAAAATAAATCATTATTCCATGCGAAAATATATATCCACATACAAATTAAGAGTCTGTTTGCCTCATGCCGAGAAATGAAAATGGGAGTGAAAATGACAATGACAGGGAATGAAAATGGGAATAAATTTTCATTTCCCCAATTTAACCAGGAATGAAATTTTGGGCTTCTGGGGGGAATGAACCCATTATATTATAAAAAACCAAACAGTTTCTTTTATTTTCATTCCCATTGATTACTGCTTAATACCTCCAACCAAACACCCCCTAAATACTTTAATGGTTTTCCATATGGGCTTATAWTTGGGTTCTGTTGTTTTTTTTTTTGTTGCCTACTGTCTTTTTTGGACCAAAAATCATCAGTTTTTTAGTTTTTAAAAATATATCATTTAAAATGA